GCAATGGGAATTCATATTGACTACGGCACACCAAAAAAAGAAGTAAAATTAGAGAGAGATCTAACACATTATTGAGCGAGATGGGACGTTGAACGATTCAAATCATCATGAGTACGTCATCATTTAAAATGACTTGAACAGCCCTCGGAGTGGCGGTTGGCAAAACTGGATTTCGGATTTCACACTGCAACGAACCTTTTCGCAGTCGCAGCTGGACGGACGGTTTCACGGCGCGCTGAGCTGGTTCAGAAATCCTTTTGTGCTTCCCAAAACGAGATGCGTTGCTTCCTTAACTTTTGCTGGAGTGAGGTTAAGGACCAAGGATACAGACTCGTACCTGCCAAGTGACACCGCGACAGCAACAGCGATTCAGAACACGCATGGCGCAGCTAGGCGGCCGGCTGGTGGTCGGAAAGTGATCTGCTCCCAGATGAATCAAGCAACGCTCGCCGTCCAATCGCTGCCCTGTGAGCCATTCGGTCAGAAGTTCAGTTCGTCGTTGAAGTGGCGGTGGAAACGAGTAGAAAAAGGTTCCGTCGATTGCATCAGCAGCTCTGGTTTTATTGGTTCCTTCACAAGCGCGTTCGCATCGTCCGCAGAGGCGCGGACGGTGGTGCGAAGTGGTCTGCAGCTGCGTTACCTGTAACCTGTGCCACCGAGGTGAGGGATATGTTTAGGAGCACTCGATAATGACACTATTTTTCAGTTTTTTTTCTACTCGGAGGGTGATTGATCTCCGTAAGCAAACGCATTATCAAATCGTCAACAAACCACAGCCTCATTCGTTCGTTCGTGGGCATCATCTGAAATCATGCGGCAGTATAGTACGTCACCGGCGAGTTGACCCATTAAACAAGAGAATTATTATGCAGACAAGCAGGTCGGACAAATTGCAGGCACGAATCTCGGGTGCAGATTGGAGAGCAAAGAGCATTCATCACCAGCAGGCCACCACCACCGCACGGTTGCACGCCTGAGCCCCGTGTGGCCGTGTCGCGTGTAGGGAGCCAGCTCGGCTCGGTCCAGCTCGAGCCGGCTTGGTAGGTTAACGGCTGGCTCGTTAATGTTATAATCTAGAGGAGCAGCTCTTCATCGCTTGGTAGGCCAGAACCATTGTTAACATTCTATGGATCGACTAGGGTAGATCTAGGCTCGCACATTTAGACCTAGAACACTACACCGTGAGCTATAAAAAAAATACGACACACATGTTTATAGTGTTTATGCTACATTAATTCCATAAGGTAACATCCACCATTATGTAATCATACATGATTAATACATATCAGGTTCATCAAAAGTATCAAACATGCAACATAGTTGGTCCATCCATGATCATGCAGTTTCAGCATACTAACTAGTTACTTGCCACCACAAATTTAAGAAAGTCTACAAATTCAATGTTGGCATCATCTTCTCCCTAGAAAACAATCCATAAAATCAATATTTAAGTACTACAACAATTATAAAATTAAAATTTATATGAAACAGCTTGAAAAAAAAGATTACACACCAATAGAATAGATGTACACTTCTAGATCGGAATCATCATCTTTTGAATTTATAGTCGTGGGCTGATAGGCCTCGGCTCGTGAGCAGCTCACGAGATGACTCGTTAAAATAGCGACCTAGACTTAGCGTTCAACTTGTGAAAAAGTTAAATAAAATCCTAAGTCGAGCTGAGCTGAGTCGACCACGACTCAGAGCGAGTCGCGAGTATTTTTACCGGCCTACGTGAATCCTGACCGGGCGAGGACTCTGGCACGCGCTAGTCAGCGCACCGCCACGCGGCCGTGATCTGCTCCGTCGAGCGAGTCCCCCTCCTCCCTCTGCCGCCCAGCGTCTCCGCCTTCGTCTCACCGATAGCCACCGACCAGGCGGCCCCGCTCGCCACGCAACACGCACGGCGTGGGCGTCCCTGTCTCGCGTCGCGTGCGTTACATTGCGCGCCAGCGTAATTACACTTCCGGTTCCTTCAAAACCTCTCTCTCTCTCTCTCTCTATTCCCATTCCCCACAGACAAGGCCAGAAGGTCTCTCCGGCGTCCGGTCGCCCCTTGGCGGAGCCCGGAGGTGGCCATGGCCCGCCGACGTACCGCGCCCCCATTCGCCGTCCTGTTCCTCCTGCTTCTATCCACCGCGGCGCGACCGTCTCAGGCTCAGTCGAGCAACACCACGACCACCCAGCACTCCCGAACCGCCGTCGGCGGGTTCACGCCGACCACGGTGATCGTGCTCGTGGCCCTCATCTCCGCCTTCGTCATCCTCACCCTCTTCTCCATCTACATCAACCGCTGCGCGCCGACCCGCGCTCCCCCGCCGCGGCGGCCGCCGTCCCGTTACGCTCCTCCGGATCATCATCATGCCGCCGTCGCCGGCGGCGGCGGAGGCGGAGGCGCCGCCGGCCTCGACAGGGAGGTGGTCGAGTCGTTCCCCACCGCGGTGTACGGCGACGTGAAGGCGCGCGTGGCGGCCAAGTCAGGCCCGCCCCTCGAGTGCGCCGTGTGCCTCGCCGCGTTCGAGGACCGCGACGAGCTCCGGGTGCTCCCCGCCTGCTGCCACGTCTTCCACCTGGACTGCATCGACCCCTGGCTCGCCGGCGCCGTCACGTGCCCGCTCTGCCGCGCCGACCTCACCGTCACCGCGCCTTACACTCCTCCCGCCTCCTCCTCCGAGGGCTACGACATGACTGCGGCGCGCCAGGAGGCGGTGCGAGAAGAGACGGACGACGAGGTGCGAGACGAGGCGCGCCTCGTCGCCGCTTTCACGCCCGAGTCCGTCATCAGCTTCGGCACGGCGCGCCCCCTCGATTTCCACTACCGGCGGACGCAGTCTGCCATGGACGTGCCGGACCGGCACACGCTGCGGCTGCCGGAGCACGTCATGAAGGAGCTCGCTGCTGTCCGCAGGCACCGGCGGGCCGCGAGCCTCGCTAGCTACCCCGACGGCGGCGTGGAGCGGACGCCCGGATGGCTGGCCTCGTTCTGGCGGTCCGTGTCGTGGCAGCGGCCGAGCCGGACGGATCCGGACGCCGTCGACGAGCACGGCGGCAGCAAGCGCGTCGTCCCGATCACTGGAACACCGGCAGAAAGGCCCAGCGGGTCGGGGGCTCCTACGGACGACAAGGAGAAACCTGACCATGACGCGTTAAACCAGGTCTGATCGATTTAGATTTACCTCCGCGTGCATGCTAAGACGATGATCATTGATCGGTGCTGTCTGCCTCCGTCCGGGAAAAAAAGAGTTCTATTGCTAGTCAAATTTCCTAAACGTTATACTAGAATTCCATTCTTTTCCGAAGGACGACTGGACGAGAGAGTAAGCAGCTGCACCGTTCCTGTTGGAATCAGCATGTCGGATGCTTTCATCTTGGTACTATTGTACATAATAGAGACTTTTTTTCTGCGTGCCATTATAATAAATATCGCATCGCAATCATACGTGTCTGCGGAAATTTCACAATAGAAAAATTTTTTGCCAATACGGTCTCTTTTCGGTCGTTTTTTCCATTAATAACGTTCGGGTCCATCCTTAAATTTTCATGCTCATTCAGTTACATTTCAATAAATTAATTAGAGATCTGATCTGCGATCTTGAAAATTCAAGACGATCTTGCCCTTCATTTCAAATATGTTATTAAAAAAAATGATTTGATATGATTAATATATGAAAAAATCATCATATTTTTTTCCGGAATTAAATGAAAATAATTTTATATAAAAAATATAGATCTCTCATTTAATCTACAACTTTCTAGTTTTGAGTTTTTTCATATGAGTCGCTAAGATGCTCAAAAAAATTAATAACATTTTAAACTTAAATGAAAATTTTCGTTTTTTCACACTGTAGATCTCGACGGATACAAGTAGAGCCTAAACTAACGGAAGTGGCATGGAGGACCCAAAAAGTTGAAGTAGTATACATAAAGACCACCAATTTTTAATGTAAAGATACACAGAGAAATTACGATATTTTATAATAATACATGAAAAGTCTCTACATAATAATCTTTTGATCTGGATATGAATGCCTAAAACAAATAAGATTATTTTAGCAAGCGATTATGCTCTACGAGTAGGCCATTAACTGTAGCTAGATTTGGTCACTGTAAGTAACCGTGTCCCGCAATTATACAACACAATAAGTTACTTGGAAGTCCTTGATTGCCTCCAGCTGTAACATGAAGTTGTACAATAGATTCCACAGCAGGCATGAGACAGGACGACAGCGAAAAAACAACACCGCCGGTTGCCGGAGCTGTTTCTTTCTTTTCTTTTCTGGCCGGTGCCCGGTGGTCAGAGATAACTGGTGGAAGAATGTATTCCGTCAAAAACAATGGCCGCCATGGTCGTACGCGAGAAGGTCAGCTCCTAGGCGTTTCCTCAAAAAAAAAAAAAGGGGTAGCTCCTAGGCGACTTTATCCCGAGATCATGTGCGATTGCATGACGGCGACCCAAGGTAAGCTCTTCGACAAGGACCAATTCGGTAGCTAAAGGCCTCCCTGAAGTTATGATTGGACCGTCGCTCCGTGCAGATCCAAAATTCCAACGGAATGGCCAAATGGAGGGCTCTCAGCAGACATGTATGCAGGCCGCCACAAGCCGAAAGTGAGACACATTTTTAGTATTTTTTTTAACTGTGGAAACAGATCCATTCGGCATGCTTGTACATTTCTTTTTGATGGGACATGCTTGCACGGTGCTACTGCACAAATACGAGAAATGTTCTCGCGCCTGGTAATACCCGCAAGGCGAGAGAAGGTTACAAAAACTGAATGCAACAAGCAAAACCAACAAAGCCATCAGAACCATGCCAAGCCCCTCCACCGTCTCCAAGCTGCCCCAGCGATCTGTCTTGTTCCGAGGTTTGTCCTGAGCACCTTGCATTGCTTTTCAAAACGGCAAGATTTGACGAAACTAACACGCGAAAGCACACGATCCCCGACCCCAAGCTTAAAAATTCACGGGTGTTCAGTCATATGTACAGCACCAGATCCTGCCATCACCGAACTTCCGACAGTTTGTCCATGCGCGTGCTCGCGATCATGGCCTGCAAAACGACACCGAGTCCACACCGTTAGCTCTCGACAAACGACAAGCAGCGAACATCTGGTTTATTATCTCTGCAGCAACAATTCTGCCGGCAATATGTTTTTTTAAGTGCAGTTTTTAGCCAAAATAATTAATGTGTGTGTGTGGCTGTGGCTCACCTCCTTTTCCCAGTCGCAGCGGACTGTCATGATGGCCAGGATGAGCGTCTGGACGGCGGTTCCGCCGATCATGCCCGCCCAGATTCCCTGCAAAAGTTTCGCGCAAAGAATTTCAGGCGGCGAAGCAATGTTGGAGCTAGCACAGTGGTCATGGTCAAGAGCAAATAAGTGGGCAACGAGTGAGAGGGATGCGGACAGTACGCAACGTACCAGCACGCCAAGGTTGAAGAGCCATCCGAGCAAGATGCCCAAGGGGATGCCGATGAGGTAGTAGGAGCCGATGTTGACGTAGGCCACCGTAGATTGCCAGCCGGAGCCAACGGCCACACCTGAATTCAACAAGACGACGACGACATTGAGTACTTGCTTGGGTCAGTAGTGCTTGGTACAGCCTACTGGGCCAACAGTCACATGGCTCATGGGCGGGACTAACTGGGCTGCGTTATGTGATCCGGCCCATGGAACGGAAGTGGTGATTTGGCCAGTTTTTTGAAGAGAGACGTGTGGAGCAGCGCGCTGACCTGAGAGGACGGGCTGGATGCTGTTGAGGAGGATGGTGAATGCGAGAAGAACCGAGAGGTTGTCGACGGCGTCCAGGACGACGGAGCTGGAGGTGAAGATGAGCGCGAACTTGTCGTGGAGGCCCATGATCAGCACCCAGAAGAAGAGCCCGATCACCAGCGACGTGATCGACGACACGATGGTCGCGAACCGGGCGCCCTTCCCGTTGCCGGCGCCGAGCTCGTTGGCCACGCGCACTCTGCAACAGGCCATCGCCAAATCCATCCCAATATTAATTATCATCGCCTTTTTACGCATGACGTGAGAGGTAAAATAAGAATAATTACCCGGTGCCCGCAAAGAACGCCAATGGAATCATCATCTCCCACCCGTTAATTGTCATGCTACATATAAATAAAACACAAAACATTGTTAGATTAAAACTGGAGCCGCTCGTATCATTCTAGCCGGCCAGTGGGTATTTAATTTTGCAGTGGTGGTGAAAAAATAAAACGAAGGATGCTCATAAAACTTTACCATATGGAGAGAGCGTCGACGGCAATAGCTGCATCTTTTAGGTTTCCCGTCAGCAAGACGAGTATCCTGTAGTACCAGTTCTCTAAGCTGCAGACATGCATAAAAAAAAAAGGTCAGCACACGTGATAGGCGGTAGCTGTGTGTTTGCCCATTTGGCTATTCACAGAACAACACATGTGCAACGCGCGCTTTCAGTTGCCACATCGTTGCGTTGAAATGGTGTCGCACGCAGCCAGACAGCATGCATGGTGGTAGTGGTACTGCTACGTGCAAGCAACTGTGCAACATGGTACCAAGGACTCGATCCTTCGTAAGTACCAGTAATAAGCAATCATATATAGTTAGTGCATGGATAACAATCTAGTAGTACACGTACCATAGCATGACGCCGGACGCGGAGGAAAGCTTGACGAACTCCCACATGCCGGCGAAGGCCTCGAGCGAGAACCCGTGCCACGTGTCGGGGCACCCGCCGCAGGAGACGTAGGCGAAGAGCATGGCGCCGGTGGCCCACCATGAGAAGTTGAGCGTGAGCGCGATGCCGGCGAGCCCGAACTGGAACCTGGAGACGAAGAGCCAGCTGACGAAGACGTGGACAGCGAGCGCGACGGCGGAGGCGGCGGCGTTGGCGAAGTTCTTCATCTGGCACTGCAGGAACCGCTGCAGCGGGAAGAGGAAGGCGAAGGAGAAGTGGAGCGGGATGAACCACACGGAGACCCGGCCGGCCATCGCCGACAGCTCCGGGGACTGCCCCGTCAGCAGCAGCACCTCCTCCGCGAAGAAGTACATGGGCAGCAGCAGCACCGCGCACAGGAAGAGCACGATCCAGGAGCGCTGCATGTACACGCCCATCATGTGGAACTTCTTGGCGCCGAACGCCTGCCCGCACAGCGTCTCCAGCGCGCTCGCCATGCCCAGCTGATCCACATTGTCATATCCAGCCATTGTAATTAGTAATTAGTATTAGTTTCCTTAGAATCGAGATGAGATGTTTGCACGTAGTCCATGTGAAATTGGAAAAGCGGACAAGATTGGAATCGGAATTCGGACGTGCCAGAGGAAGCAAGAAAAGTACACAAGCCGTCCCTGAGATAACACGGCGTGAACAAACGCACTGTGGACGTGGAATTCGATAAAGGGTCTATTTGATTGTCCGCGTGTATCTGGCGTGAATCCATGAACCTAGAATTCGACAAAGTGGGAGTGGAGAGGATTAATACCGTATGATCGAAGGTGATGGTGGTGGGTGGACCAATCGCTTTCGTAGCCACGGACAGTCCTTGAATTCGACTTGGGCCACGTTCACTTTGAAAAAAAAGTGAACTCGATAAATAGTAACATTTTCGTTTTATTTGACAAATATTGTCCAATCGTGGACCAACTAGGCTCAAAAGATTCATCTCGTGATTTCCAACTAAACTGTGTAATTAGTTATTTTTTTACCTACATTTAATACTCTATGCAAGCGGCTAAAAATTAATGTGATGAAGAGAAAGTGAAAAAACTTTTAAATTTGGATGGCATCTAAACAAGGCGTCGGTGGCTTTCATCATTCCGAGGTGGCGACGGGTCGAGGGGCCAACCGGAATCATCGTACTACAAATCAATTTTCTGTTGCGCTAGTATTTCAATTCCTGCTTGCCGTGGTCCTTGCCCGTCGAATCGAGTGGCAACTATCCTCCCTGATTACCGAGCACTACGTACTGTACTTTCAGTGGACAACCCCAGGTCTGACGGCGTTCAGCGAAGTTTTTAGCTGCACCAATCCAAGCTATAGTCACATCTCACGACCTACTCCCACAGCCTATATATATAAAAAAAATTCACTGATGGCAAAAATTTGTCCTAGTGATAGGATAATGAGTAACGACGATCAACATTTTTTCGCCGAGCCAAAAGTTGAGAACGGGACAAATCAAGGCTGCGAGTGGGTCAATCACGACAACGATAGTAATTGATGCGATTCCGAAACAGCCAAACAGGAGAGGCACGGCGACGGCAACTGTTGGCCACTCGAGTACTCCCTGGGCCCACGATTCTAGATCTCTCCTGAGTGACCATTTTTTTTAAAAAAAAAATACAGTTGCAATGAATATTTATTACTAGATTCGCTATTTAATTGAAATGTTTTGATATTAGATCTATTTGGAGTTATGAATAATAGTAATACTATTTTCCTATAGATTTGCTCATCCAACCTAAAGTTAACATTGAGCTTGGGATGCAGTTGGTTTTGAGTGGTCTAGACCTAGAATTACATGCCTACTTTTGGAACGCAGCTTCGGATGCAGTTGGTTTTGAGTGGTCTAGACCTAGAACGCAACTGGTTTTGGAACGGAGGTGGCACGTCCTACAGTCTACCAGTAGTATTTTGCGTACAGAATCCGCGATCATCGGGATTTTAGGTTCCCAGTCGTCTTTCCTTTTTCTGCTGACAGCAAACCTTTCGATCGACCCGATCGACAAATCAGAGGAAAGAACCAACTTCAGTACGCTGCCTGGAAGGATCCCTATCGGAGTACTCCTACTACTGATGTCACTCAAAGTGATGCCCAATCCAATGCAAGTAGCCCAGATGGACTCGACCACTCATCCTTCGGTTTTGGCGTTACGTTCGCTTCTAGAAATAAAATGCTGTACGCAGTGGCGGAGCCAGGATTTATACTCAGGGGGACCGGTCGTCAGGAATTATACTTAGAGGGAGCCGGCTCGGTCTTTTTCATTACGATAATTTTATTATCTAGTTGTGTTTTGTATAATTATATTATTTAGAAGATATTAATAGGTATATATGACAAGAATTTTATATAATCTCTCTTTTAATATAAATAAAAAATATTAAGTCATACAACTATTTTTTGTTGTTGCGAAACATGGGCTGTACGCCTGTACTACACGGCTGAAGGAGCTACGAGAGGCAGCTGAGAGTTGCCGAGTTGGCAGTTGCCATGGAAAACACGTAAGGAAACAGCAGTAGTGTACAGTGTCGTCGTTTTGGGCTTTTATTAGGCTACCTTCCAGCTGCTGTAACGATCCTACGGTCTGTTTCCTCTTGTAGACGTTTGTCGTGCGTGCGTACTACTAGCACACAGGTGGACAGAGGCTAGGCGGCCTTTTGCTGCAATACACGTACATGTGCACCATGTAAGGCAGGTGGTTGGGACAAGCTACACTTGTAGCTACTACACACAATACACGTACATTATTAGCTAGTACACACAATAAACGTACTAGTGGTACCCATCACGTTCTACCAACGTTGACACTGCTTATCCAACACAAGTCCATGAATCATGCAGAGCAGCGGGTGCATCCCCGAGAATTGAGATGAGATGTGCACGCAGTCGATGTGAGAATGGAAAAGATTGGAATCGGAATTCGTTCGGACGTGACAGAAGAAGCAAGAAGCATCACAAACACAAATAAGTTCGTAAGCCGTCCCTAAGATGCCAAGGTGTGAACGAAACGAACGCGCTGGACGTGGAATTCGACAAGTGGGGTGGAGAGGAACAGAGGATTCGGACCGAAGGTGGTGGACGCCTGGTGGAGGTGGGTCATGGCGTTACAAGAAGGCACTCCCTGTCCCTGGTCCCTGCCCTGAGACGTCGCACGCAATGCAGCAGCACTGCAGCAGCTTTCATCTTTCCTTTGTGCGTGGTGAGGCTGGATCACTGGTGGACTCTGCATGCACACGGACTTGGTGGCTTAGCTTTTCATTATTCCTTGTCCGTGGTTGGGGACCGATGGATGGAGGCCAATCGGGATCACACAAATCAATTTTCTGTTGCGCTAGAATTCAGTAGGGGCATACTTTTTCTGTTTCTGCTCTACAGTCTGCATGGAACTTGTGCCGTGGTCCTTGTCCGTCGAATACCCCCTCCCTGATTATTGATCCATTATTGATATCATGACAACGTACCCTAGATCTGCCGTTCGAACAAGTTATAGCTGTACCAATCCAAGCTAGTCACACCTCGCATGGCACAACGCCACAAACCTTGTTATAGGGTAGGACTATTATTAATAGTAACAAATTTTATGATGGCAAAATTTTGTCTTAGTGAGATGATAATGATGAGTAACGACACAAATCAGCATTTTGTCGGACCCATCCGCCGCCGAGCCAAAAGTTGAGAAACCGGACAAATCCAGGCCGCGAGAGGTGAATCATGACAGTAATTGATGCAAAATCTAAACGAGGAGGCGCAGCAACGGCAGCTATTGGCCACTCGACTACTCGATCTACGATTCTTTTTTTAATGCGTCAACTCTTCGAGTAGGAGTTGTAGTATCTCACATCAACTCACATCACCACACGCACATAAATACACACCCTAGTATACAAGCTAGATCTACACCTACATGAAGAGGCTGCACGTAGTTGAGAGATATCCGAAGCCTTCCAGGCTTCGCACGTGGCGGGCACGTCACTCTTACCATTATGATGCATCCACGCGTGAAGCTACAGATACCCAGGACCTATAAATTTATTATTAGAAAAAAAACCCGTGAGGCACGCGAGTGTCGATCTCGGGGATCGAACTCACATCCAGCCGCTGGCACACCTGGCAAGCGAGCCAACCGAGCTACGCTCGGTCCTCCTCAACCCACGATTCTAATATAGTACTACTCGTCTACTCCTCTAGCCAGAATAAATACACCTATGACATCCAGATTTTATACATACATTCAAATTTTACTTCATACTACTAATATGTAACTTTTTTATCATGGGTGACCTAACACTTGTAGACTTTGTTACTTTCTCTATTTCTAAATTACAATTATTAAATGTCACTGTAACTTTAGATAAAAACTATATACTTATAGGATTTTTTTAGAAAAGAACGGTTTTACTAGAAGAAAAACTGAATTACAAACACACTCTATTTCTAAATTACAATTATTAAATGTCACTGTAACTTTAGATAAAAACTATATACTTATAGGATTTTTTTAGAAAAGAACGGTTTTACTAGAAGAAAAACTGAATTACAAACACAAAACTATGTTAGGCATTGGGGTCCGCAACTACCGGGCGCGGAGCCACCTCCCAGCCAACCCTGGGCGACCGACCGGGCTTGTCAACGAAGTTTAAAAGAAAATTTTCTTTTTGTATTATAGAAGAATGCTATAATTTGTTAGATTAAAAATTTTGTACGACGAGGATTGCTCAGGCTCATAAAAGCTTCGGGCTCCGCCACCGTATATACATATGAATTTTATAGTGGCATATTAATCTCTTCAACACATAAGCACTCTATTCGTTTACCTAATATTACACTGCATTAATTTGGGATGCAACTGGTTTTGGAACGGAGGTATGTAGCACGTATTTTGAGTTTCAGTCAATCAATCTTTCCTTATTTTTTTTCTTCTTCTGACAGCTGACCTTTGGACCCGCTCGAGAAATAAGAGAGAACAAAATTTCTACACGTACTGTACGCTGTCTGGAAGCGAAAGGGTCCCTGTCCCTATCTTATCACCCAAATTAAGGCCTGATTTAGTTCCAAAAAATTTTCACCCCAAACTATCATATCGAATCTTGCGGTATATATATGGAGTATTAAATATAGACGGAAAAAAACTAATTGCACAGTTTGGTTGAAAATCGCGAGACGAATGTTTTAAGACTAATTAGGCCATGATTAGCCATAAGTGCTACAGTAACTAATATGCGCTAATGATGAATTAATTATGCTTAATAAATTCGTCTCGCAGTTTCAGGACGAGCTATGTAATTAGTTTTTTTTATTAGTATCCAAAACCCCTTACGACATCCAAAACATCCGATGTAACATCAAAAATTTTCATTTCGCGAACTAAACACAGCCTAAGTACTGCCAAACCGATGTCCAATCCAAGTAGCACAGATGGAGTCGACCACTCATCCTTGTTCGGCTTCACATCATTGTACGTCCGCAAAGTACCTCTCCTGCTCTAGCATTTCCAGAGCGTGTGGCTGAAGGAATTACGAGAGGGCAAGCACGCGCATTCATTCGTTGAGCTGCTGCTGAGTTGCCACGGAGAACGAAACAGCAGTAGCGTACAACAGTATCGTTTTGGGCTTTGGCTACCTTCCAAAACTGCTGTAACCACCTACGGTCGGTTTCCTCCTATAGACGACATTTACGCTGTGCGTAGCAACAGGGTAGTTGGGATTGGGGCAGGTTATTATAGCTAGTAGTACACGATACACGTACATTACCTCGCGTGCACGTAGTACAGAAAATAGCAGGACCGGCCGGGACGCATTATTGTCACGACTCAGGAGCCAAATTAAACGGAGGGTCTGTTCGCTCGAAGTTATCGATAAGTCTTATCAGCTTAAATGATTGGCCGGCCGGTCGGCCGGAGCGAGAGCTTGGATGGGCAACGAGGGGAGAGAGGGAAGGAGGGAGCGTGTGCGTGCGTACCATGAGGCCGAAGTTGAAGCCGACGACGACGGTGTTGGCGATGGAGATGGCGGCGAGCTCGAGGTCGCCGAGGTGTCCCGCGAAGGCCTGCGTGATGACGTTCATGCTGTAGGTGACGACGCGGCTGAAGATGGCCGGCGCCACGATGTCCCACAGCTTCCTCGACTCCTCCCATACCCGCGCCCCGAGCTGCTGCTTATTGCCGCCCTCGCCCTCGCCGCCGCCGCCGCCGTGGTGGTTGTGTTGAGCCACCACCTGCCACTCCTCCTTCACGCTGGCGTCCAGCAGCGCCACCCGGCACGCCTCCTCGTCCGCTCGCTCCGCCGTGCTGCTGGCCATCGTCGTCGCGTTCGTGTGGAACAAGGCCGGCCTCTTGATTGTTTCCGCCCAGGCGGCCCCTCTCCCTCCCTCTCTCCAAATGTTTCTGGAGATGGAGATTGCTATCTAGCTCGATCTCCTAATGCTTTTAGTTTTAGGGGAGGAAGGAGGAGGAGGAGGAGTCCTGTCTGGCTTTCTCTCCGCCGGATTGAAGCCAGCGAGACCGGCTTTTAATAGGCAGGGCGTTCGGAGTTGCGTAGCTGTGTTGGCGAATCCAGGGCCAGGCGCAGGCAGCTAGCGTACGTCAGCGACGACGGAAGGGTATGATGGGCCTGCATGGGCTGCGCGCGTGCGTTTCGATCGGCACGTGTTTGTTGGTGGCGAGTTGGCGACTGGCGAGAGCTGCTCGAGCGCGTTTCGTTGCCGGGGACAGCTGAGCCGCCGAGCCCATCATCACCCTCCTATCCGGCTAGCCCTAGCAGCCACGGCCCTAAAATAAAGGGGCTTTTTGGAATCGGACTATTATGAAAACTGGGCTTCGGTGATTTGCCATCCCGCAACGGGGCTTCGCCAGATTGCCATTACGAAACCCGACACATCCGCCAGAATGCCATCCGAGAGCTTTGCAACCCTTTTCTTCCTCTTACGCTTTGTCTGCTTCCTCTTTTTCGTTCGCCCGGTTGCTCAAATGACGGAACGGAGGGGCGCAGAACGGATCGGCAATTATGCCGCTTCAAATGAAAAAACCGGCGAGCGAGCACACCCCACGGCGAGCAGCCCCATCCACGGCGCGAGCCCCCCCACCACCACATCGAGCACCCACCCCCCACCCACAGCCCACCCACCCAAATGCGCCCCACGCCCCAAATGAGCCCACCCATGGTTATTTGCTAGGGTAACAAAGAGCAATCAAAATCCCCATGGACTGCAGATGGAGTGACCTCATTCGGTATGATTCCTCTTTTTTGCAAAGTGTTTGTATTCCTCAGAAACTCAGCTTGGGAAGTCAATACAATGACTTGCCAATTTTTTTCCCAATTTCTCCAGTGCTCGATCACGAGCCCGAGGTTAGTGTAGATGCAGAGAAACAAATTGGAGATGTTGGTAGCAATGATAAGCCTCAGAGAACATGAAACATGTGATGTCCTTGGTAGTTCGAGAGGATGTAGAATGTTATGAAGGTGTTGATTGAGACAGATCGCAGATTGTTGCTACTGATTGATGAAGAGGGTGAGGGTGTGCTAGATATAATTGATGAGGATCAGTTGTTCTTTCTTTTAGGTTTGAGAACCGATGATGATCGGCATGATAGGCCTAGTGAGATCGAGGCTCAGTCATTCGGCTTTTGAGAGGAAGAACTGACCCAATTTGAAATAGAATCTACCGACATTGACATTGACATGGCCGGTGTCGCATTCTGTTGATGATCATGTACCGGGGAAAGACTCTATGCTTATGATCCTAACAAGCCTTGTATGAATATTGGCACCGTGTATCCAAATATGAAGGAGTTTAGACTAGCTATGAAGCAATTTGCAATAAATGAGGAGTTTGAACTGCACTTAGTCAAAACAGATAAGAAGAGATACATTGCTGATTGCAATGCAGATGATTGCCCTTGGCATATTAATGGGCGAACACAACCTGATGGGATAACCGTCAAGGTGTATAACTTTTGCTTACTTTATGTCACCATTTTTTTGGTTGTAAATATCTAATATTTTGGCTATTGGCTTGTTGCAAAAGTTCACAGACTTTGATTGCTCTGCATACAATTGCACTTCTAGCGCAAGGAGGAGGACCACCACTCCATCAAGTGTCCGGTGGCATCAAAGGCCATTCATCACCTCAGGAAGGATTCCACCATAGGCACCAAAAACATGCAGAAACTGCTACAAGATGAGCACAAGTGTCAGATTCACTATGACACCGTATGGAAGGGAAGACAAATTGCATTGGAGGAGTTGTTTGGCACCGGCAAATGTAACTTGAAATGTTGTTCAATTGGAGGCGGAGGTATGCTGGCGATCACACCGAAGTGTCATTGAAATTGACATAAAGCGGTAGATGGGAAATTCTACTCCACAGATTTTTTGCATTAAGTCCTTGCATTGAGGGTTTTTGGAGGGTTGTAGGCCTTATGTTAGCGTGAGACTCAACAAAGACTTAATGGTAGATGGAATGGGCATATGGCTACAGCCTCTCGCTATAGATGGTCACAATTGGATGTATCCACTTGCTTTTGGGTTCATAGATGGTGAGACAATAGATAATGGACATGGTTTATGAGTCAACTACATAAGGCCATAGGTCACCTACCAAGATTTCTTGCTATTTGCACCGATGCATGCAAAGGGTTAGAAAAGCAAAGAAAAGATGTGTTCCTCAAGTTTGAACATAGAGAATGTTTTAGGCATCTAATGCAGAATTTTATTAAAAGATTTGGGGAGATATTTTTCAAAGATGTATCCTGCAAGCAGAGAATATAGGCCTCAAGTATTCAGATATTTCTTGAACCAAATTGTGACAAATAATACCCTGATGTATTGGAATGGCTTCAAAACCATCACAAATTGTTATGGATGAGAAGTGCCTTCAACCCCGAAATCAAGTGTGACTATATTACCAACAACCTTGCAGAGAGTTTCAATAATTGGATCAAAGATTGGAAAGACCTACCACCAGAATGAGCTTGCTGACAAGATTAGAGAGATGATAATGACACTTTGGAACAAGAGACGTGCAATTTCAGAGAAGCTTCATGGTAGGATCCTACCGCAAAGATTACAACAATTGAAAGTAAGGACTAGGGGTTTAGGAAACCTAATGATTGTGAAGGCAGTGCTTTTCTTTGCAGAGATACATGACACAACCAAAGACACATAATGAGACATGTTGTCAAGTCACATTTGCATGAATGTACATGTTCAATGGCGGCAAGACAATGGAAAAACCTTGTCAAGATGCCTTGGTCCTCATAACAAAGACAACAAAGTTCTGAAGTTAAGATGGAAGACTTTGTTCATGATTATTACTCAATGGGAAAGGTTCAAGAATGCTTATAAGAGACCGATAGAGCCACTTCCAGATAAGACCCAGTGGCTCGAAGTTGTGCTTGACTTTGCGCTCACGCCTTTTAGCTAAAAAAGACTGGCTGGAAAGCCCGTAAAACCGAGAATCAAAGGATGTCCGGAGGGGGTGGTGGCATGAGCAAAAAGATGCAAAGGATGCTGCCAATCAGCCGATAAAGATGCGTAAATTGAAGTCGCTAAGGAAAGAGGCAACTAATTGCGGGAAAAGGAAGTGCAAGCGGTGCGGTGAACTGGGTCATGGAGAAACTAGCTACAAGTGCAAGCTAAATGGGACAAAGAAAAGGTAGCATCTTTTATTCTTCATTTTATTGATTGAGTGCAGACAACTAATATTTTTTTTCTCCCCGCAGAAAAGAAAGCCCAGGAAAAATACTACTAAATATGGGCCAAATGCTAAAGTCCCAACAAAAAGGGCAAAGAAGCAAGACAATGAGCCTGAAAACCCTATTGTGCAACCTGAGAATGCAACTGTGGAAGCTGATAATGCAACTGTGCAAGCCTTGAATGAAACTGCTATAGTCCCATTTGTTGCGTAGATTCAATTGTAGTAACCAAATTTCCCACCAAACCGAATAATGAAGCAATCTTGCAAGATAGCCCAATTAGGTCGACAAGAAGGTAAACACAACCATCTATACTTCCCCAAACTTGATTGTGCATCCAGTTACTTAATTTTCTTCCTTTTTCACCGCTTCAGCATTGTTGGTGGGAGAAGGCACAAATGGCCAACCCATCGAGACCGATGGGTCTCCCAACACTACTCAAGGAACACCAAGAAAGAAGAGAACAACACCAAGAAGTTGGTCCCAAGGAAAAAAAAAAGAGAGAAGCTCATCATTTTCGTAACTTCGTGTGTTTTACAAACTCGTGGTCTCAGATGAAACTTGAAGAACATGTGTCTTGTATGAGTTGTATGTGTTACTGAAACTTGTGTGTCCTGTATGAGTTGTAAGTGTTACTGAAACTTGAAGAACCTGTGTCTTGTATGAAACTACTATTGCACTGGAATATATGAAAATCATGCTTTATGTTGGTGGAAAATCAAAAACTTGATGAATGATGTAGAAATGATGTAAAATCATGCTTTTATTCTCAAACTACTACTGCACCGAAAACTTGATGAATGACCTGAGAAACTTGATTGTATGCAAATTTAGTTGTATTCTCAGTTTTATTCTAAAACTCGATGAAAATCTGTTCTTCCTCGACTGCATGTATAACGAAAGCGAGATCATGTTGTGTGGACTCTAAAGATTTTACTTGTTCGTAATGTCCTCTTCTCTATATGCTAAAAAAAAGCTAGAGATGAATGATAACCACTGCAGATTCTCGAGCAATGGAAGATATGTAGCATTGAGCACAGGCCGGTGGTGCACCCAAGCAAGGAGCGCATGTCCGGGATACCGCACTTGACGAATGAGAAAATCTCATTTATTTGGGCACCAAATACACTTGACAGAACAAAATTTCATACATCAAGTGCTACAATCTGTTCATCCGACAGGTTTACTACTATCGCAAACTTGATACAAGTACACAAGATTCAACCACTCTTGACAATTGCATACAAATTGCTAACTAACACAAGTCCACAAACAAGAAACAAACATTTCAAAGATCATTACTATCTCCCTAAGTCGCTTAAGTTGTTCTTCCCGGCTTGATTCTCCACAATTCGCCTTGTTTTCGACAATTAGGACTTGTCTGCGGCAACTTAGTAGACTCGAAAGCATTTGATAATCTGAAGGCACCAATTTATTGTCAACCAAGTATTGCTCATACCCTCTTCCCACTCCCAAAATGGACAACCAAACCTTCTCTCTCTGCTGCCAAATAAAGGGAAACCAATGAAATCAACTCGGTCATCAAATCACACAAAATACATCACACAAAATTTACTAACTATTCTATTCTCACCGTTCGAGTTGG